GAAAACAAATTTTTAATTCCCTCTAAACTAGAATAATCCAGAATTTCTAATCCAAGTGATCATTTTGTATAGGAAAATCTATTAGATATATGTATATCTAAACAAAGATATATATACAAAGAGGTATATGAAGCAATTCAAGCAATAGTTGTATGCATTCAAACAACTTCAAAACTGTGGTTATTTAAAATAGAAGATTCAGATAATGGTCTCTATTTTGATATAGCATCTAAACTAGATCTTGCCAAATATAAAATTAGTATAACCGAACATGGAGAGGAACCAGTAAAATTAAAAACATTAATAAAATGAGCATTTTTAAAAGGTCTGATTCTTTATAGTAATATTGATTTTCTACCATATTCTTCTAATATCTACCTTCTACAATATTAGGTTCTTTAATCTTTTCTTGGAATTCAAAGCCAAACCATCAACTGAAATTAATTTTGCTCTCATTGATCTGATCACTTGGCATATAAAAAACATTTGGTATAACAAGAATAAAAACTACTCTGAATATATTATCAACTGGTTGGCTTATCTTATACAATATTCAGAAAAAAACCTGGAACTGTTTTAGTATTATATTCCCTCTCATTTAGGAAAAAATATTTTAACTAATTTTATTGATAAGGAAATATTAGGTTCAGAATTATTCTTTGCATCCTCAGATTTCAAAAAAATATTAAGAAGATTTAATAGTTGTATACAAGCTAGAAAGCTTATCCTTCTAAATGAAACAGGAATAGTATCAGGAGAATGGCAAAAAGCTAATGATCATTTAAAATCTCTTATTACTGAGCTATATATAACTATAGAGCATAAGGGAATTGAACCAAAAACAATTAAGGATTTTGCTAGATATATGGTTCTTAGTAATCACAATGCCCTATTTCATGTTAAAATGGGTGATGGGCATATAGTATGTTTAGATGTATCTTCTAAATGCAAGGGTAATATGGGATATTTTAAATAACTTGGAAAAATTTTGGAACATCCTAATACATTTAGTAATTTTATAAGCTACTTGCTTAAAAGAGATCTTTCAAATTGGATACTACAAGATATCCTTAATACTAAAATAAAAGTTAAAACAATGTGAGATCACCTTCCCAACACTATTCAATTCATAATTGATTATATTTCTCTATAGTCTAAGAATCAAATTGATAAACCAAGCTGTACTACTTTATATCAAGATTATCTCATTTGGTGTAGAGGTAATAGAGAAAAACCATCCACTAGTAATATTTTTGGAAAAAAATTTTCGCAAATAGATATTGATCGTATATATTTACATGATAGTAGAGTAATAATATATCAATACGTTCTCGATTGATCTAAAATCATAAACAAACTATGTGAAAAGAGTATTGATGTAGAAGAATTTTTAGACTTACTCTAAGCTGAAATATCCACCAATGCATCCACAGATATCCTTATATTCAATGTTTCAGAAATCACAATCCCGAAATCAGAAGATAATATAGCTGAATCATCGACTACTGATCATATCAAAAAAGGTAAAGAAATAGTATCTGTCTCTTCTATCACTAACCTAATCCAGAATCTCTTCAATTCTATAACAAATAAAAGTTCAGTTACTTCGTTATTCAAATCTACCAATATATCTCTATCTTCCAACTTATCTGCAAATGACAAACTAAAATCTAGCAATGAAGAATCTAATACCTAATCAAAAATATATCTATCTGGCTATTTAACCTGGAAGCAATGAGAGGCTCGTTTAAGAAAATAGGCAGTTGAGCACAGTGAAGATCCTAACAAATTCATTACTATAACTAAGAAAGATAAACTTAATTCGATAGCATTCTGTGATAGAATGCAGATCAACACAAAGATGTATAGTTATACAAAAGAAGCCAAAAATGATCCCAAAGAATATATAGATATGATGATATATGAAAGATTAATAAGTAAAGAAATAATCTATCACACTTTCGAGAATAATAGAGTTATAACATTATGGCTAGATACTGATAAGAACTAGAAAAAAATGGTTAGCATACTCTATGAAAATAGTATGTTGTAGTAATTGCTTAGTCAATAAGTGAATTTTAGGTAGAAGCTTCGATATAAGTAAATTTTTTGCTTCTACAAACTAGTTATATAAAATTTTTAGATAAAAATATTACGCAAATTCTGATATCACTAGTTTTTGTGATACTCAAGAACATAATACTATTTCTTTTAAAATAAATTATCTATATATTAGGGACTAAAGAAGTTGAATTAATAAAAGCATTTTTCTGTCTCTCTCTCTTAGACTAATGTTAAAATTTATTAGCATTTTAGAGCAATAATCTGTATAAAATAAAGTGGGTTTGTCACATATACTACAAGACAATTTTAACAATTTATTAGTACCTGTTTTCTAATGAAGAGCGTATCCAGTTAGACAAGTACAGACTTGTCCACAAATACTTCTATCTATTTTAATATATATACAAGTAAAGCAATTCATATCAAATTTTTTCACTTTATTACAAGATAACAAAATATTCAAAATTTGTAAGAAAATAGTATGTAAAAATCGATTTAAATATTGGTAGAAAAAATATATCACATATAATAAAGAATACTTATACTAATATACCAATATTATATACATACTACATACCCAATAGAAATGCCCCAGAAAATAGTTAACTTATTAACCAAGAGAGAAATCGATCACAATAGACCAATATTCTGCAAACTAATATGTAATAGTTTAGGTATATAAAAGATTTAGCCAAATTTCTACAATTACCAGATATTATAGATTATTATTATCCTGAGCAAATTAGATTCATAAATACTCTGTTCTATCTAGCTATGATACTACTGATTGATATAATAGAAAATAGACCTAATATTTACAAAAAATTGTTTATAAGTGTAGAAAAATACTGGAATCTATTTCAAGTATTATAAAAAATAAAACATAATAATAAACTAATATATTATATAGCCTGAGTAGCTACAACTCGAAGCTATAAATTTTTTCATTATATCCTATATGTTAGTAAATTTTAAATCAATATCCTGGTTATCCTATAGGTATATATAACTCTTTTTTCTGGATATAGGAGGAAAAAGTATAATTAATTTCGATTTTAAAAAATAAGTAGATTAGTTTATAATCACAATCTACTTATCAATATATATTATTTACATATCTATTATAGCAACTATTCAAAAAACTAGAAAACCCAAAACTAATAGCTTTATCTTTATTTTGAATCAGATCCTCAATAAATATAACCTATTGGCTGAATCAAACCCACTTCAATTATGTGCTCATGCTAGTAAGCTTGGTACTATACTATTGGATTAGAAGGCTTGTAAAGATATAAAAGAGGCTCTCCATCAACACTTATTCAAAAAAATTAAATAAAAGCTCTAGTTTCGAACAACAAAAAAAAAGGCTTACTATCAAGGAAAGAGCTCAATATTGTGCAAAAACCGAAAATACGTAGAGTATTTACTTACATACTTTAGACTTAGCTAAAACAAAAATGATGTTAATAAGGAGATTGTAGCATCTAGTTCCCATCTTTCGCAATTTTGTAAAGAGTTAGCAGAAGCTGAAATTGATCCTGAGCAAATTAATACATATGCCAAATTACCAAATATTACTCGAGCTTCTAACAAAATTCAGAAGAAAAAACTTGAACAAGGATTAATCAGTCAACCTAAAACACCTAAATACTTCTCTTTAAAAGAGGAGCTTAGAAGACTTCAGAATATTTATACTACTGAGACCTCCACTTTACAAAATTTCACAGATGTGATCATGATGTTGAGCATAAGACCTGCTAAAGCAACTACTCTTCGCATTATCTATTATGAGCCTGATGAATCAAATTCTTTAGAATAGTATAATCCGATTACTCTTGGTATTATACTGGGTATATTAAAAATAAAGGAGAAGCAAAAAACAATTCTAAACCTCGACCATTTCTATCCATAGAAAAGAATCCAAAACATGCAAAAGAATTGCTTACCTGGATCCAAGACACAATAGTAACCAGAAAATTATACAATCCTGTCTATAGTATTAATAAAAAATATAGTACAGGTATATTTAGTAAATTTTTAAAACTATATGGCATTACAGCTAAAAAATTAAGAAAAATCAAAAGTAAACATACTTCTAGAGTTCATAGTGGTCAAAATTCAATTTCACAACATCTCACTTTCCTTAGTAGAATTGCAATAAGGCATAAGATGGATTGTCATGATTCTAAAATATATTATGCTGAGAGTAATACTTCAGATTCTGATCTTGACTCAGATCTAGAGCCTAAACCCAAAACCCTAGCTCCCACACCCAAGCCAATTAATGAGAATATTTCTGAAATTGAGAAGATCTATGATTTATATAGAAGTATCTAGATTAGTTCATAACTTATCTATTTATTCACTATAACTTAGCTTCACCTTTTCAGGCCTGCTTTGTAATAATTAGACTTATTAGATATTTTTTAAATAAAGTTATATATGCAAATTAACTTACTAACCGTACTTACCTATAAACTAAAAATCATCCGTAATTGCTATTGAAAATCTAGCGATGATTCTTTGATCAAGTCTTATTGTGGAACAATAGCACTTACATGTTTAACTCTTCTGGCTCATACTAATTAATTCATGAATAAACAGATTGCCAAATCTGAAATTAGTTTTCATAAATCTGTAAATTGAATTTTTTTGAAATTATAAAAATAATTGCACTAATCTTTTGTATTACTTCTGAGATAAGCGGTCTTGATATAATACTTGATATAGAGAAATAGGTTAGTAATTGCTTCTAAAATAGAACTGAATATATCTTTTCATGAAGTATTTAATAATAAATATAAATGTATTTACAAATCTTGAGATCCTACTCTGAAAAATAGAAAATATTATAAACTTAGTAATTAATGCTCTATCAAGATTGTTGTTAGCAAAAGTTTTTTCTTCTCAAATAACAATAGAAGATGCTATTGGAAATGTATCCAAGACCTTTTTATTTTGCTGGTCTGTTAATAAAAACTCAGATGAGATTATGCAACAGACTGTTCAAGATTCAGATCTAATAATATATCTATTAAAGCCTTACCTTAGTTTATATCATTCGCATGAAAACTTTAAAAGGGTTGGATACAAAAATCATACCAATATCTCTAAATCAAAAAAAAAAAAAAGAGATGTTAGTCCTTATAATATAAAGAAAAATTCAAGAAAGCATATAAAGAAAAATTCAAGAAAGTATATAAAGAAATACTTCTCAAATTCTAATAATATAATAAGTGGCCTAGATTTTCAATATGTTAAACAAAGTATATAAATATATTTAAAATATGTCATATAAGTCACTAGTATTTGATACCAAAATACAATTATGTCTAACTTGTAGATTTGAATCTATTTTTTTTACGAATAAATATTAGTTTTTTTAATATATTAGTCATATTAGCTCTAGTAATATATCATATGTAATAAATTAGTTACTATAATAAAAGAAACTAATTCATTTTATTTTTTATCTATATCTAGTTCATTATATTAAATAATTTATAAATGTACTAATTGACAAATCCGAAATTGGTTTTGTTAGTATGAAGTAAATATTATATAAGAATGAGCTAAATATAAAAAAATTTTAGTTGTAAAACTTATCTGGGTTTACTTGTTATAATGCCTTTTTCCGACTTTCGAACCTTTGTATATAGCATTTTAAAAAATCTTGATGATGAAATTATCCAAGATAAAGAATTTACAGAGCTTAATACATGCTTAGAATATGATAAAAAAATTCTTATACACAACTATGAACTATTAACTATCCTTTCATGTGGTCATGTATATTACAAATATTGTGTTAAGAAATTTTTACTTATGAAAGAAAATAAATATCCTAGTTGTGATAAGGTCATTGAGCCTATAATAATATTAGAAACACCAATTAATTCTTCCAATCTTAGTAGTAAAAAGCAGAGTAGTAATTCCACAGAAAAATCTTTTAGTAAAAAAATTAAACCAGTTAATAGAGATAGCTCACTGACTTTAAAAAAGTTAATTAAAGAATTAACTACTCCAATTTTTACACAAATTCTATCAGAAAATACTATTATTCTGCAGTCAAGTATTTCTAAAATGAACATAGATTTAGTTAATTTTTGTGAATTAAATGAAAAGATTATCAAAGCTGAAGATAATAATCAAAAAACAAATCAAGATATAATATATTCATACTATTATTTTGGAAAAGAATATAATTTATAGTATGATATTACAGGCAATCTAATAATGAGGACGTATCTAATGCTTTAGTTAATAATAAAATCAGAGAGCATATTCCTAATCAAGATAAAATTTCTGAGACTAACTTTTGAAAAAGAAAGGAAAGGGCTAAAAAAGTTTTCAGACTTTTCAATAGTATTGGTGGTAAAAATATGATAGATCAAATTAAATCTTTTTTTGTATCAAATATTTCAAATCTAAGTCTAGACGATATTGATTATTTAATAGCAAAAGTTTTAAAAGCATTACCCGATAAAAAATAAATTACTGCGCCACTGTGATAACAGATGGTACATCTCTTCAGGCATAAATAATAAAGTTTTTATTTTTGTTTTTTTCGATAATTTGACTATGTACAAGAATATTCATTAATGTGTTAGAATAAATTTATAACACATATATTATTTTTAGTTAATATATAACAATAAAAGAATATTGTATACTTACAAATAAAAATAAACAAAAATACATCAAAAAGTGGCATATCTTTAGAGAATAGAAGCATGGGTGTAAGGTTTGTAACGAATACAATCACCATTCATATCTGTATTGCAATATATACAAAAAAGTAGCAGTTGGCATATATAGACAATGTGAATATGAAAATTGTCCACATAACAAAAATAAATAATCTCACATATAAATTTATCTGCACTATCTTACAAGGCTTATTGTTATGTATGTCCAAAAGTAACGACTGGGTAATAAATACTTGTTTTATTTCATATAACTAACTCAATAACAAACTACATAACGATTAATCTCTACTAATTAATAATCACAAATCGTAAAAGACCAAGAAAGGAAACAGAAGGGCAATATATAAAAAAAGAGAGTTAATACCTCAACATCTAAATACGATCTACCTAATCAAATAAAACCAAAAACAAATAACAAGAAAAAGCAAAAACAAAATAAAAGAAAAGAAAACAAAGATAGCACTATTAAACCTGTGCCGGATTGTAAAAATTATATAGAACTACTAAATAAACTAGACTAAACTCTACACTAGTTATTTATATCTATATTAGGATATATACAATATCCATTCTTAAGTAGAGATCTAAGTTCGAAATTTCTCTTGCGGTCCTATCAGATTTTCGATATAGTATCCTACAATATGTTTTCGCTCATTTCCAGGGCAAAGTTAATGGTGTAAATACCGTAATCTTTTAGGGAAGCCAATCAACATATTTTTATCCCAAAGTAGACATGTACTACTGTATGTAACTTTCTTTTTTCGGTAGCGATTGTTGTTGTCGATCTTTTGATGGGGTATGCCGACTTTTCAACTTTTTGATGAAACTTCATAAAGAACAGAGAGTGGGGTCTTGGTAGAGGGTTTTGGTTAGCATATATCCTTAAACTTCGATAGGGAGTGTATTGAAAACTTGCTTGTTGTTCTCCTTCAGACCAACTATCTTTCACTTCGTCAGCAGAAGTTATGCTTCTATTAAAATTTTTTGCACAAGGGCACCATCTCCTGCCAGTTATCTTGTACAAAAACGCTTTTAACTTGCTTGCTGAATATACAAAGAAGTCCAGAAGAAAAGCAATAAGCCTTGACTTCTGTAAAAACCATTAAATATAGTTGTCTCTTCTACTTTCTCCAACAAGTTTTTTGTTTTCGTTAGTTATAAGTTTGGTACGAGTGATCATTAGGGAGAGTTGTTTTATAAAAATTATTGCCAGAACAATAATATACAAATAATATATATAAGGTAGCTACGTGACACTATCACATGAAACCAGAAATGTATGTTTGATAATTTATTGAATAGATGTTTTATCGATAAACAATTTTTTTATTATGATGAGTGATCAACGTATGTGCTATTATAAGTATTAGTGTTTGATAGGTCGATCACTGCTTTATCTAAAGTTTGACCTTGGTATTTATAATCAGTAAAAGCATAAGCTGGAGTTAAAGGAAGTTGAAATTGTTGAAATCGATATTGTATTTTAGGTACATACATATGTATATCTAACAATCAGTCTAAAAAAACTAATAAATAACTATAACTTTTTTTGAAATAAATTTCACAAAGTAGTGTGATGTTCATAAAATCAACCGGATTTGAATGCACTCTAATACTAATAATCATAAAATACCCTTAAATTAATTGCCAAAAATGGCAAGATAAAATCTATTTTTCAGATCAAGAAGCTATTGTATGTATAGCTACAATAAATTAACTAGAAAAACTAATATAAAAAATTTATCTTTATCTTACGATAAACCTGATAGATTAATGTAATGTTTTATAATATGAATTCCTAAGCACATAGTACGTATTCAATATTGTATTCTTTTACTTTTCGTATTAATTAATATCAAAAAATAATACACTAATCCAAATGTACGGTTATCATGATCATTTAGCTGGATTAAATCATCATTACAGATAAAAACCATATTAAACTGATTCGATCTGGATCATAAGATCAAGAATAAATATTTAATCTAACCAGAATTTTGGTATAACTAAAAAAAGGATGCATATACAATGATCACGCTGCCTAATAAAATTCAAGATTTTGAACACAACAACTTGTCTGTAAACCATACACTTTATTTCACTACGTTCCTAGTATATATTTATTATAAAATAAAAAAAAACATATAGGAGATCAACCTGATAACAAAATAAATTGTATGATTTAATCGTACGATAATCAGATGTTACTCCAAACCAAATTCGAATAATAAACTCGTGGCGCATATATTTTGTTTAATTATACAGATTTGATTTTTCAAATTTCTCACTTATTGAAAATTTACATCGAGTGTTAAACTTAAATTTTATTCTCAACTCTCCTAACTCAGAAACATTTATTATAAATGACTACCCAGGAGGATGCACATTAGAAATCTAGGCTTCCTTATTTTCAGAATAACGAAATATGGAGCCTGATAGATTTTTTACAGTAGAGTATAGTGTATACAAAAGATTTCAGAAAAAAGGAAGAAGAACACAGAACATATAAGATTTGTTTAGAACAACTTACTCAAAGTCCTTATTTATTAAAATCTCATAATAGTAAATCTGTTCAACGGTTGGCATCACTGTGTTTGAAATCGCTCGAGGTTAGAGACTTACATTTACTGTTTTATTGTATGTGTTGTTTGTTTCAGGTCCATAGCACAGGCTAGGTTGCGTCTGAATATTTCTTAGTTAAGTCTAGAAAAGTGCCTTGCTATGGTCTTGTTACTAATTGCTTAAAGTGCTATGTCGAGTCTGAATCCCTGATCATTGAGTCAAAAATCCCAGGGTTGCGTCCCATTAGGTATTTCGAGTGCATTTTACTTTTGGTTGTGTCCAAAAGTGTTATAGCAACAATTTTTTTCTTTATATATATTAGAAAGAAAAGAATCTATCTGTAGTAGAAGCCTTTTGGAAAAACAAAACCAACGTTATGAAAATGCTAAAAAGAGCATCAGCTTTGAATTCCCAAAATCTAATTAACCAAATGTTGAACTTACACCACAATTTCAGCGAAGCTCTATCCAATACTACACGAGAAACTATAGAACCAGATAATATAATCAAACCTGTTATATATAATATGTTGAATTATATAGCAATCTTGTTTTATGATTCATAATAACAGCTTTAAAACAGAAGTTATCTTCCAATCCATCCGAAAGAAGAATGAAAAAAGTTGTAATTAATTCAAGGAACCAAACAGAATATGACAGTGATGTAAGCGATACTACATTAGAAGATTGGAATGAAGAAAAGCCTGAGGAATTTGATGCATATACCATTACTGCATCTATGATTGGCCTTTTTTATAAAGAACAGTCATATTGGTCATCTTATGAAATATCATTTCAAAAAATTGACGAGGAAAGAAAGTGGCACTTGTCTTCAGGAAGAAATGTGGAAGACATTCTCTATGTGTACATGTCAAAATTGGAATATAAGCAACTAGCATATTCTTTTATTATTAAGTTTAGTGTATAAGAATGATGTAATACAATATTTTAGCATGTATTATTATCAAAAAATACATTATATGATCACATATTTGTTACTATTTCGTGGTAAACTAAATAAAACTAGCTAATTTCATATATATAATTATGTTTATTTTTGAATATAAATTTCGTGCCTTTTTGCTCGAAGCCAAAGAAAAGGTAATTACACTATATCTAAAATAAAAATGATCACTTTTTCGAGCTCGCAAGAAAAATTAGAATGGATACATTATATTTTTATTTTGAATAATATCCACATTTTATATAAAACAATGACAGATTCACAAACTACAATTGCTTCGTTAAGAGAGCTAAATTCCAAACTTATAGTTGAAATTACTAAACTTAGAAAAAATATAGTAAGGTTGAAGCTGAGAACGTGAAGTTAAGGCAGGTTATAAAAGAGAATACAAAATGTGATACTAAAGTTGAGGAACTAGAGCAAAAGAATATAGAGCTTGAGACCAGACTTGCTATATTAGAGCAAGGAGAAAAAGGTATTTCTACAAAAGATGCTTTGCAATCTCTAGTAAATTCCAACGATACTCCTAATGATCTATCATCTGATATAATTGATAAAACTTTAAATTCTAACGATACTCATAAACAGATAATCTCATGTAATGAGAAGTCTAACACATCTAGCTACGAAGTGACTACCTCCAGCAATTCCGATACACAACAGGAATTAGAGACCTCCATATCTCCTACCCCTGTGAAAACCATATCATTGGAAGAGAAAGAAGAAAATAAATTTCTGGATTTAATGTATAAGGAACAGATTAGTAAAGAGATAATTCAGAGCATTAAGAAGAAGAAACCTTGAGATCAAGACCTATCTTTGGTTAGCTATAAAAAAAAAGGAACAGATAAACTTCGGCAAGAATTGTTCAATACTTCTTTAGAAATGAGTTTACAAGATTACTCTATATCAAAAAATATTAAACCAGAACAGATTAAAATTTCCGAGACAGCCTGTCCCAAAAAAATTGAGAGCATGGATGGTTCTGCAAAGTGTATTGTTAATTTATTTGACATTAATGAGATATCACAAAATTTAGCTCAGTTGTGCGATACAGCCATAGGTGCAGAAGATCGAGCTTTGAAGGCTAATCAGGAAGAAATCATATGCTGGTCTCTTTATGGTAGGGATTTTGAATTTCAAGTTGGTGAGATGAGTAGTAAAAATAAAATTGGCGAAAAAAAAGCAAGAACCTTAATCTATAATAAAATTGAAAATCAACTCTCTATTCTCCATAAAAAATGAACACAAGATTTGGGCTTACAATTTCCAAATATATCACGAGATACCTTGTGCAAAAAAACTCAAATAGCTATAAAAATTTATAAGTTATTCGAAAAGATAGATCTAAATAAAATTAGACATATTAAGAACTATAGTACAAATTCTATCTCAGAACTTACTAATAACCAAATTCAAGAGATTATTAATTATGGTTCAGAGAGCCGAATCTCTATTTTACCTTCGCTTAAAAATACATCTGAAGTATCTTCTGAAGATAATATAATTGAAATTTCTGGGACGGCCTGTCTCGAAAAAATCTTACCTCACATTGAGATAAGTGATTTGGTATTATCGTGTTAGCTTATGACAAAAACCAAGGTAAGTATACCACCGTATTCTATACTAAAAAGGTTTTATCAGAAACAGAGATAAATACATTAACTATATCTCAATCTAAAACCTTATCTAAAAAGTCAAATAATCTAGCTCACAACTATGTTTATTTTTGTAAAAGAACATTGGAGCAATATCCTAATTTATATTATGAATATAGTAGTAAAGATATTGATTACTATAGAATTAATGCTGAGTTATTATACCTAGCATGTGAGCTAAATCATAAGGATAATAATGGTATAGAAGGCAGATATAAAGATGGATCCTATTATATTAAATGTGAACAGCGTAGAATTGAAATTGAGATAACAGCATGAACTTAACATACCTTTTCTCAAAGCCAGATATTTAATATATTCCACCTTCTCGCAGTAACTATATAATCTTTTTTTCTTTTTCTGAACTAGAAAGGAAAAGGGCATGTTTATTTTTTGTCAGTTATTGTTAATTTAAAGAGATATGCGATCATATAAAATAGGAACATGAATACGCAGGTAATGACCAATAAAATATTAACTCTCGAATATTTGGAATGAGAAGCTAAATTAACAGGATTGCTAAGTATTTTGACAAATAAAATTCATTCTAGGTTATATAAAAGATATAAGAATAAAACTAGACTCGATTCTTGAATAAACTCTAAAAGTTCTATATCATCTCAAATAGAAGATAACAAAAAGAAAACAGAGGTATGCATATTATCTATAAACAAAAATGCATCTCTCAATTCTCATCTTCCAATTTTTATTTTACCTAAAGATCCAGATGAAAAATAAAATCTTGTTATTTATACCACATTGGAGCAATTCAATAATTTATCGCTTAAACATAGTATTAAAAATAGTGATTATTATGATTATTCAGGAATATGTCCTTTATGCAATGAATATCATAAAAAAGTATATGGAAAAATATAAAGAGTGAATAGGTTCTGGTAATTATTATAGCAAAAAAACATATTGCTTCTATTGTTGTAATAGAACTTTTAGTAGAATTCTTATAGTAAATATGAAAGTATAAAGCGAGGCATCATGTAGACTATAATAAGCAAAAGTTTCATTTTAACTCAATAAATTCATGTGATATTCTGACCAATTTACACAATCATATAAAAATAAAATTTGGTGAGAGCATGGACTCCACTTCTTTATTTTATAAAAATATTGCTAGAACAACAATATACAAATAAAAAAATGTATACTGCAGACAAAAATATAAACTATTTATTAATTTTGATTTAGCCTTTCTTGTCATTGTCCAGGATTCTTATACTTATTGAAATCATTTTCCTCACACCATTCTAAATTTTCTTCTGAAAAATTGTCTAAAGATCTGCCTTCATCAATATTATAGTCATCGTTTTCTAAAGAATTATAGGTCAAATTGTCTAATTTAAATAAAATATTACTATATAAGTAATCATTCATATGCTTTATTTTTTTCTGACTTTGAATATATGTGAAAAGGTAGGGTTTTATATACCATAGCTGTCTTTCCTATTATTGGTCTTGGAGGCATTACTTTTGCTGGTCTTGGAAGTATTACTTTTGCTAATCTTGAAGATGTTACTTTTGCTGGTCTTGGAAGTATTACTTTTGCTGATCTTGAAGGTATTACTTTTGCTGGTCTTGGAAGCATTACTTTTGCTGATCTTGAAGGTATTACTTTTGCTAGTCTTGAAGGTATTAAGTTCATTAGTCTTGGGGTGGTGCTGTCA